CCTGGCCTTACTACTAGGAGCAAGGACGCTACTAGGGGCTCCTGGCCATACTACTAGGAGCAAGAAGCTATTAGAAACAATATCTTCGTATTCATCATCTTAATTATCCCGGCTTCAGAGTCCGTCTTTCCTTTTGAGGTTTGGATGTTGCTGCACTCACGGGTGCACGTCGTACACACCGAGTGCGCGAAAGTTTCGCTTCCCGCTTAAGAGTGCTTCCTTGAGTGATAGTTCGTCAAGATGAAAGGATTTGAACTGCAATGCCAAGGTAGGTTCTAGAGAACAGACATATATATATATATATCATACCACTACACACACGTCAAGCTTGTATATATATATATATATGTATATCAGTGATAGCCATGTGCGGTCTTGAACACACACAATGCCGGCACCATCTGCAGGTGGTCCTTGGGAGGCTCTGAGGTATTGTCCTTTGAAGGTGCCGGAGGGACGACGAGTGGCTGGGAGAGGTTACTATTGTGCGACTGGACAGTTGCTGGATAGTTCAAAGGGGCCTTGGAATACGCATGCAGTTGTTTTATGTGAAGGTGAATCAAATTAACTATGTGTGTTTATGTGTTTTAATTACCGTAATACCGTATTTGTTATGTTTCAGATGTTTTCCTCGCAAAAACCAGCATGGACTTGGACAATGGAACCGAAGAAACACCTTTGCCATGTCGGTGTCTACTGTCACCATGTCCCGTTGCGGCGAATGTCGGGAGTGTTCTGTCGGTGCCTAGCAGCCAGGCCCTGTCATCGACAGAGAATCCGGAAGTTTATTTTGGTAGACATGGCAGACTGTTTGACTTCAGTGGCACTATATGCTATAATATAATATGCTATATTATATGCCAAACAAATGCTATACAATAGCTATACACCTAATTATAGGCTAATGTATATATAGTCAGTGGTATTGTATATATGCTACATCCACATCTCTGTTTTCTGATTGCTGTTGATGCTGTGAAAACACGGACGATTCGTCAGCCAACTCCGCTGACCAGAAGTAGAACCTACCCGGTGAGTGGATCACCGGACGAAGCAAGAACGCAAACAACATATATATCCGTTCATTGCTGTAGCTTCCAGGTGGTTTGGCAGCTTCAACCCCCAAACAAATGAAGAGCTAGGTTTTACAGTCCATGTTGGGGAGGGGTTATGAAGTTATTAGTCAAGATTTTACATTAGCTTTCAGGGCGGTCCACAAGATCAACCCATCACCGTGCTTCTCAGCGAAGTGCCTTCTCAGACAGTGGAGACTTCCTTCCCTTAGAAACAACAGCCTCATGGCCTCTTGGTCACAGTTTTTGCCCATGAACCATCTATGTCACTGGCTGAAGGTCCATCCAGTATGCCAACTCACTAACATGGAAGTTGATGGCATGGTCCCTTGGAAGACTACTTTCTGTTGAAGAAGAGGGACCCCAACTCCACTTGCATTGATGATAGGACCTCGTCAGAGCTGAAGAAGAGGGTCCCTTTGGTTCATCCCATCCCGGTCCAAGCGAGCCAAGGTTTGGTTCACCCCAAAACTGATGGACACCGAAGCTGAAGCTGATGGATTTTAAAGGACCACATCATTATTCTATGTTATTATTTGGGGTTCATGTCTTCACAATAAGGCATCATGTGCTGGTACTCTTTCTGTCATATATACATGATTGCTGATATTCTGTGTGTTTGTTTGTTCACCCGCCTCGCCCTGCCGCCTCGCCAGGCGATGAAGGCGAAGGGAGCGGGCAACTCCGCGGCCGGTTCTTCCGACAATACCCGGCGCCGCCGAACGGCCCCAAGGCGCAGGGCTTCGTGAGAAACGGGGGGGCAGCGGACCAGACGGAGAAACGGTGAACACGTGGGGAGAGTGTGGAGAGTGTGGAGCTGAAAATGCTCCATACCAGGAGACCCTAAGGGATGATTGTTGTTTGAAAGCTTAAAGGGTGGACCTTTGGGTCATTAATAGGCATAGACCTTTGGGTCACCAAGAAGTAGACCTTTGGGTCTCCTGGTGCTTGTCGTATACCTCGTGATTTGCTTTCACCCCGCCGTGTGTGAAGAGGGCCCCGGAGGCATCTTCGAACAGGATGCACTTGTTAAAAGAAAGCTCCACCTCTCAAGCCGGAGGTCCCCCCAATACTATCCATAACCCCATAGACAAAGACTCATGCAGTTCGTCTTCGGCCAGCGCAACCGGTTCCGGAACCCGGGAATTTCCTGGGTTTCGTCCTGCAGGAAGACCACAAGGAGAAGAAGGTCAAAGACTCTGAATGGAAGAAGGCGCGTCGAACGAAGAAAAAGGCGAAAGGCCACGAACGCCTTCTGAAGACGATCGCGGATCCGACGCCTGTACCGAAGTCACCGATGAAATCGGCGGAGGTGGTTGCACTTCTGAGACCTCCCCAGTGGGGCATTTGCAAATTGTTGTTGCCCCTAGAGGAGGGCAGGACACCAGAAGTCACACAGTATAAGCATGTATAAGCATCATCCAAAGTACACCAAAATTTGGCCACAGCTACGGGGCTGTCCAAACACGTCACTTTCGCAGATGGCTCAATGCGTTGAAGCATGTCATTCGCTTCCAGTGCTTTGGATTCCGTCCGATGTGCCCCGTTTCATCCGATGCGCAACGCATCCGAAGTGCCCAAAGACCAACCTGGCTGAAGCCGCAAACACTCCATGGGACAGCAAAGGCACCTACAAGGCAGTCATGTAAAACCCACCAGCTCGCCTGGCTTTTGCATTTGAGAGCTGCATCAAGGTGCTTTATGATGCATTCGTCCCATTCCCTGCAAGAATTGGGCAAGATCATCACCATCACGTTGGGTACAGGCATGTACGGGCCTCTATGATCATATAATACTGTATCATATAGTGACCAGATACATCCAGTTACCATCGATCTTTCTCGCTGTGCCATTTGTATCTCGAAGATAGAACGGTGGATCCGGTTGATCCAATGATTCAACCCTAGGGCTCCAACCCTCCTCAGGTTCGGTGGTTGGGGTGGGATTCGGGGGTCTAACCACCTTCTGAGGAGAATGGCCAGGAGCCCTAGGGCCGTGATCATTCGTTCCAATTAGTTCCGTTTGTGTCTAGTGGTATGCGGCTTCCGCGGAAGACCAAGTGCCCGTGTTCCAGGTGTTTCTGGACGTCGGGGTGTCCACCCGACTCGTTGAGGCCCTTGAGATTGAAGGCATTGACGAAGAGAACCCTCCATGGGCCAGGGGCCGTGGTGTTGGGGCCTGGGGTCGGGAATCTCCAGAAAGTCAGATTGGTTACCCTAAGGGATCCTTGGACCCTCCTTAGAAGGGGTCGAACCCTCTAAAACCAGGGTTTGTACCCTCATGTACCCTCAAAACCCTTGTTTGAGGGTGCGGATCCTTAGGGTAGCTCGAATTCCAAAGTTGGAGAGCTTGGCATCAATTCCAAGTCTGACCCCTTGCAGTCTCGGAACGCGTGACCACCGTTGGTCTTCCTGGTCGAGGCTCCGTCAGAACGGTTCTCACCGCTCCCAGGTGTCTCAACGTGTCGGTAACGTCGAGGTGTCGGCTTTCGCATGGAAGACATGGATCAGCTTCGGCTTTGATTCCTCATTCATGATGATCATTTCACGACCCAATCATTTCTTGATATTGTCTTCCATGATCATTCGCATGAAGACCCAGCTCCCATTTCCGGACCACTGCTTCAGGGGTATTTCTTAAGAGCGACAACACAACTGACTGCTACCTGAACACTGCAAGGATCGTTTGAAACACTGCTCTTGACTACAACATGACATCGAAGCAACACGCATGGTTGAAAATATGTTCAATGTCAATCATTAATAATTAATATATTGTTTCAATATCTTGGAGAAATGGCATGACCCTGAGTCTGGCAACACTTGGCCTTGCTAGCTGTTCGGAATGTCTTCAATCCTGAAGACAACGTCAGGCAACGAGGGAACCTCCGCTGATGCCCCCACTTCCCCCTTCTGCAAGATCTTCCCTCCCCACTGGTGACCGATTTGGACAGTGGGCGCTGGAAGCACTGACGAACGGCCCACCGGTTCGCTCATAGAATTCATAGATTAATGAATGGATCTGTGAGTGCCACAATGCCCCTTTGTGTGACGGTGGTCGAATGACTTGGCTGCAGTGGACGGTCCATGTTTTCCATGTCGCCCAGCAGTGTGCCCCCTGGTCCTTTGGGGCAGTCATGTGGTCCACGAAGATGTTGGCAGCCACCCACTTCGCACTTGGATTGGCAACCTGAGGTTGAACACTCTGCTGGGGCGCCAAGTGTTCACATCAGCCGGCGTCCGGCGTCCACCGTTGGCGGTCTGGCGCCAGCATGTCGAGACAAAGACAAGACCACGACAGGTCTACCGTCTACCAGTCAGACTGAGAGAGTATGAGAATGTCATGCGAACAATGCCATCCAGCTGATTCTTGTTGGGGTACGTAAGTGTTTGCAGGATCATCGTAGCACTGCGGACCTAAGACTATATGGTGGGTAGTGTTTGTCAAAGACCGCAGCCCAGATCCCATTTTGGCATGCTTCACAGATGCCAGGACAATAGGATACTAAAGGGATCTAAAGGGCAGCGGCATGTACCAAAAGCTTGCAAACATAATTACATACAGAATACCATATGAATCATATCCTGATGTACTTCAAAACTCCTCAACAAATCTATAGGATTCTATTGGAAAATTGTATATATAGTATACCTGATCAAAAGATTAAATCAACCAAAATCAGGTCTATTTTCACTCAGACCACGGAGTGGACCCGTTGGTTTGATCCGCTTTTCGCTTTGAGGCCTTTGAGTCGACGGTGGGCGCTGTGATCTTGCTGAGCACCATTTGTACTGGCTTGGAGATCGACTTGCATGACTGCCCAGACGCGTTCGCAACGTTGTTTTTGTTTTTTTGGGGGACAGTATACTGTAAACCTCGGTTTACTGCATGGCAGTACCATATACGTGACTTGTATGACTGCATGACTTGCATGACTTGTTTGTTTTTTTCTTTGTTCCCCTTCTCCTTATAGAAGCGTTTTGCCGCTTCCCCTTCTTCTTATAGAAGCGTATTGACGCTTCCTTTTTCTGGTCTTGCGTCAGAAACTCTGAGGGTTTTGACCAAAAGCTGATGTGTCTTTCACCGTGGTGGGGATCGAGGTGCTTTTTGCTGAGCTGTGTCTTCTCGGTGCGTGCGGGGGAATGCCGGTGTGGCAGGTTTTTTTGGTGTCTCCCGGGATCATTCAAACACCACAACCTGAGACTATGTAGCTGATGCAATCAGGCATCCATGTCGGTTGATAAGACCACACTATCCTCATGGTGGGTGTGAGGAAGTTTGTGTCCAAAGACAGAGCCCATCAGGGCATGAATGGTCACTCCAATCAACTAGGTGCACGGTTTCAGGCGGCTTGGCGATGGTTCTTGCCACTTCTCGAGCCTTCTCAGCTTGTCGGTGCCTTCAAGCCTGGCTCTGATATAGTCATCCCGGCATCCCCGCTCCAGAGCCTTTGAATCATTTTTTTGACAAGAATATTGCAAACAATATAAATGTGTTTACACCTGGACCCTCCAAGGGGTGTCCTGGCTGGACTACCCCACACTACCTATAGGCTTCCATTGGGCACCCCTTGGAGGGTCCTGGTATAGTTAAGCAATACGTGTTTTAGGTTTTGTTGGGGGGTTTTGTTGAGTGTGGGCGCACTGTGGTTTTGCGGTGACGAGGAACATGCGTTGAGGAACATGCGGCCATTCTGGAGAATCTGTTCGATGCACCAGCTCACTTTTGTGGAGTTGGTTCACTGCCAAGAGTCTGGTTGTCAAACTAGAGGCCAGTTGGCCATTTCAGGTGAGGGGCGAAAATATGCCGAGACATGCCCAGCCCAATCATGAAGGAGCTAGAGCAGCTACCGGGAGCGTGGTGAATCACCGTGCGGCCACCAAGTATGAAAAGAAGTCATGCACCAATTCCCGTTGACATCATGTTCACCCTGCCAATGTCTCAAAAACTAACTAACCGGACCCTCCGGACGGACCTCCGGACCCTCCGGACCTCCGTGGCGGGGGAGACCACGGACCATAGGGTCCGGTGGGCCAGGAGCAATCAGATCCCACCATTTGGATCATCATCGAGACGCCTGGAGTGCATTTTGGTGGTGGAGCGGAGGATGCGACGATTGGTGCGGCTGGTCCACCCGATGCTGCATACTGTATATGCCCTAGGGATCCATAGACCCTTCGAGAGAGGGATTGGAGACAGTGTGATGTAAGTTTGGAGGGTCCAAGTAGGTGCGGTTGGTAGGAATATAGTGCACTTGGCACGGTAGACAGACAATCACTTGATTCAAGCTGGCTAAGGGGCTCATACCAAGCAGCCTTGCCACTTCTGGCCAACACCTCGTTGGACACAGTTTTTGAGCAGGGTGGCCTTAGTAATCTTTGGCCAGCAGCAGCTTTTTTGGCCCACTTGTAAGAACAGCACTCATGGTGTGAGCCACTTCACGACTCTTTTCCCCTATTCGCAGACGTGACCCACTCGCTTACTTACGCCTTAGCACGAGGCGTGAGCCCGCAACTAGCATTATCACCAGCTATCTTCTCTCGCCAGACCAATGCTCATGCCAGGCAGCAAGATGAACATACATGTGAACATGGGTGTTCTTTGTTTTTTCTATGACACTCTGGGCGATACAAACGACCGGACGGTCGACCTGCCGCTTCGGTCTCGGATGACCCCGGACCTGTCGACCCATGCGGAAGATCCGAGGGTCATCGGGGGCCAGCCCATCGACCAGGGAGTGTAGGACTTCGGACCGTGAGGACTTACAAAAGAGATGAAGAGAACTGAAGAACCACGTTGGCCTCAAGGTTTTGATGCTTAAGTTTTTTTCCTTACAGGGAGTGATCCCCCTCAAGTCCTCAAGTTGTCAAGCGTGGTGGATTCCAATTCAGATGGTGCACTGCCCCAGAATGCATTACCGGGCATCCCGCAGGACCTGCCGGAGTTTCCGCGCATGTTGGAGCGAAGCTCACGGGGCTGTGGGTCAAAACAGGAGACCTTGTTTGACATACTTGGAAGGTCTTGCGCTACATGGTGGGCTATATGGTTCCAGGCGTTGACCCCGATTGCACATGGTTCCGCTCCGGGTTGATACGACAGAGCCAACGTCGAGCAGTCGCACGGTCTCGGTTCGGCGGCGCGTCAGGAATTTCTTTTGCGTGGCCTGGCCGGCACATCTCACTGGACCCGCAGTGCGGTGAAACACCTGCTTGTGGTTTCGCACAAGACATAAGAAATGGCATCCCCAAATACAGGACAATTTCTCAGGAACTGGATATCAGAGTGAAAAGATTGGGAGTCTAATCTGGGGTGCATTAAAGAGGGTCAACAAGTCATTTGCATTTGGGAGGCATTATTGCAAAACTGCACAGAAGTTGACTTCCCAGCAGTGCAATGTGGTCACTGTTATATAATTAAAGTTTCCATAGGAGATACACTTGAAAGTTCCCAGTTGGGAACATTCCCACGTCCACCACTGCTGAAAGCCAAAAGACTCATTGCAAACCATGTTTGGTAAAAAATGATGGACTCCATTCAATGCGGAACGTGCAATTAAAGGAATCACCTCAGTAAGGGGAGGGGAGGGCTATGCTTTGCCCCTATCCTTACTGAGGTCGGTAGCGCACCTCAGTAAGCCTAACCGTGCCGATCAATGAGGCGTCAAAATCCGAGTGTTTTAAGCAAACAGTGATTTAAAAGAAAAAATATGTCTCAAGTCATCCTATAAGTGACCACGTTCAATGAGCTGACTGGGTGGCTCGTAGTTGGACCGAAGATGAGTCAACATGTCATTTCTAAAGGTTGAAATGACTTGCAGCTCTTAAGTCAATTGTATTAAGTTGGTGGACCTGGAAGCGAGCAGGGGCATTGGAATTGCAAAGTGGTTGTTTGACTTTGTTAAATGCGGGTCAGTAATAGTTTAAACTGCTTTTGGAAGCATCACTGATTGACGCAAATTTGCTTAGTATTGTATAAAAGGAGCGCTAGGAAGAGCACGCAGGATCTTCAAGTTTGACTTCCAAGTGCTATGGTTATGTGTCCTCAGCTTCCACACTTTGCTTGGACAAGCCCTTGGTGTTGAACCCTAGAAGGTGAAGGGGCATATGTTGCTTTACACCTGATCATCCATATTCCTGCAAAAAGAGTTCCGACACAACCAGACGCGACGACGAAGCAGGCAGAACCTCCAGTCGTACCTTCTAAGGAGGTGGGACTGGGGGCCCGGGTGCCAGGTCCAAGGACTGGAGCCCCTCAGGATGAACAAGAACGTGCACACCGCCCCGTCATTGATTCGATGAACATACCGTGCACACACCGTACACATCCGTACACACTATACATGTCAGAGGGATGAGCAGGGACAGATGGAGAGTGAGAGAGCGAGAGAGAGTATCTACCAGCTCCATCCCGCCCCAATCACCCACCACTCATCATCCATCACTGATCACTACAACTTGCACCTGGCCATGGAGGGTCCAAACCTCCCTTGCAATTGAAGCCTCGTAACACGTGGCATGTCGCCCAATGTGAGGTTGTTTGGATCACTGTACCTCAGCAGCATCTGTGGACGTTTGGAGGGGTTCCGAAAGACAAGCTCGGCGGTTGGGTCAACCAAGGAAGAAGGTCATTGAAAGGCCTCCCTGACGATTTTGACGCCTATATACCTAGTCAGTGGAACATTTATGACCTTTTGGGTGTCCCACACGAAATATGAACAGATTGAAAAGGGTTATATATACCTAGAACCTGAATGACCTCTATTTTGGATCACCAACCACCCAAAATATGATTTTTTCCTATCAAAACAGAGGTCAAATAGGCTCTAGGATATATATATATATAACCCTTCGTTCGGGAAGCGTCTCGGGAGTCAGGGCCAACCACTTGGTGCGCCAACCGCTGTCTGTTCTCCATACTTCTCCATGCATGCGCACATGACGAACCAGATCCCATGAAACCAAGAGCCAGTCTTCTCCGGGCTCAGAGCTCAGGAGATGGTTGCAAAGCTTTGGGAGTTGCGATGCCGCTACTTCCAGGCCCCGTCCGATCAGCACGGATGGATCGGTGTGGAAGTGCACGTCCGGCGTGGTGTGGTGTTTGTGGGCATCGCGAACGGAAAACCCGGTGCAACACATATAAACAACTGAAGGAAAACACCCAGATCCACATGGAACCTCCAAAGTCCAAAGTTTCATCAATAGTGGGCTACTCCAACCCTGAACTTGCGAAGGGTGTTTCTGCGCAACAGAAGCCCAAAAGGCGAAGCCAGGACATGCTGACATGCTTGAACAAAAAGTGTGCATAGTGACTAAGAGTGTTCCTAGCCTTAGGTCACAGTTCTTTTTTGCTTTCAGCAGAGCAGGATTGATTTGACTCACCTTCCATATAACGTTGGAGCTTTCCTACTGTACCAGTTGACCTTCCCGCACAAACAGTGAAACACTGACACACACACACACACACATGCTTTGGGCGGAGCAGTTGCTGGCCAACGGCCAAACGGTCGGCTTTTCTTTGGTGTTCTCCAGAAATCGCGGAAGTCGACGACGCTGCAGGATTGCCTCAATTATGTCGACATGTCCTTGGTGGTGACTGGGACGCAGTCGACTGGTGATTCTTGAAAGTGAAAGCGGAAGAGTTGTCGTAGCATGTCGTAGCACGTGGCTGGCATGGTGTTGCTTTTCCATGGGAAAGAGCGAGCGGAACGAGGAACCTGATGTTGTTTTTGTACGTACACATAAAGCTTTACGTATATAACATGGACCCCCGGTGGGTGAACCGCGACGTGGGTGAACCGTTACCTCCCCGCTTTGCTTTGACTCCCTGCGACTCCGTGCTTCGCCACGTCCACCCCGTTGGAAGCACTTTCGACGCTCAGCACCCAAGTACGTGCGTCGATGGTGGACGTGACGTGCGTCGATCTGCGGCACTGGTGGAACCGGAGAACAAGACCTTCACTTATGGACGGTCCCAGGGGAGTTCCGCCGCATGGTTGAGTGAAGTTCATTCCATCTGATGGTTTAAGTTTATAAGCTATTTGAAGATATTTGGACACACACACATATACATACATATCATATATTTGGAGTTCGTAACGCAACAGTATTTGGATAGATACAGCTACGACCCCTCAGAAAAAGATCAATCCTTAAGTTATCACATGTTGTGAGGGGAAGTACGCCCCAAAGCCCCCGTCTTCTCTAACCGACTCTAACCCTTGGGGAAACTTCGAACGCCCCGCGGAGTTCATCACGGCGCGTGCAGACCACTGAGGTTCTTTCAGTCACTTGGCTTCAGTTCGGCACCCGCTGGTGCCGTTGGGGGAGCTGATACAGGTCGAGGACGCTGAGTATAATCACCGAGAACTGGCTCCCGGCTCCCGAGGTGGAAGAGAACGCAAGGAGAGGTTCAGCTACTGGTGGACCATGTTTTTTTGATTTAGAACAGATGGTTTGTTTTTGGAGTTGTTCTACCCGATCTCATGGGAAGGCAAACCCATCAGCCGCCCATCAAACCAAGGTCTTTGATGCTTGGATCATGCCATTCTTGGCAGCACGTCCGCAGCGAGATCTCGTCGCGCGCTCGTGCGGGGGCATGAGCATCCCTCATAGGCTGCAAGAAGTGTCCCATATCTCTATGCCCTACCCAGTCAGTGGATTGTTCTCGCACTCAAAACAAGAAGAGGTGGAGTCCGGTTACTGTAAGTTTTATTCTCCAAACAAGCTGAGGGGACTCCTACGCAGATGGTATTTCCCCTTCAGGAAGTCTCATTCAACAAGGCGAACACGAAAAGGCCTGGTGGTTGGTGGTCCAATCCTTGCCTCACCTCACCTCGTAATCCGAGTCCGAGCTTTCTCTTCCGGTCTAATCCCTCTCAGGTGGACTATGGCGGGGATTTGGTCCTGTTCCGGCTCGTGCGCTTGGTTCGACTGCTGCGCTTGGTGAAGCTTCTTCAAGTCCTTCGGCGCTTTAGGCGCCACGGCGAACGGGGTGCGACGACGACAGCGATGGCCGGTGGAGGTCGATGCCACGATCGGATTTTAGAGGAGGAGCCTCCGAATGGATTGGATCTCCAACACCATGGACTGCTCATGGCAGGTAAATTTCAATTCTAATGAATAGCTTCTTGTTACTACTAGTAAGGCACTTGTTACAACGAGCGAGGCACTTGTAATTACTAGCAAAGGTCGGTTTGAGCAAAGTCAATCCCTACAGGCCGGTTTGACCTCAGCGGAGTTGGTCATACGAAAGCACTACCAACAATGGGGTTTTCAGGTCCAGGTCCAGGTTTGACTGAGTCAGACCTGGACCTGTATAGGAAATACGTGTGTGAGATGGAGCATATTGGAGCATCCAGAAGATCATGGTCAATGTTCAGCAACGCAAACAGAACTGAAGATACTGAAGCCCGTTGTTTGATGGCATCCGTTATTTATAAAAAGACCACTGCAACTGTTTGACCAACGAAGCGGAACTGGTATTGGCAGCTCATGGCGGCGCACCGTTCCAAGCTCGTCGACACAGTAGTAGCAATTTGCCCAGTCCCTACCGAATCATCAAGAAGCATTCTGAGGAGCTTGTGAAGTGTAGCAGCAAGCGGCCAGGACTATGGTAGGTAGATAAGGTAGTTTTGTGATGTGTTGTGTATGGATAGTTCAATGTAATTGACTGTAGATAATAACTATATGATTGGTCGGATCGTGGTCCAGATTCCGGCCAAATCCGATGGGAATACCTTTCTCAGACACACCAGCGCATTGGTGAAATCTCTGCGTAAAGGGAGCTTGACTTGCTCCCTTCAATGGCATCGATTGAGAACAACTCATTGAGGACGATCTCTTCCACCTACTTCCACCCTGGGCAGGGTGGTTCCCATCTCCATTCTACTCAGTCAGTGGATAACCTGCAAAACCTTTCTCAGGGATTGGTCTCCCAAACACGAAGACCGGAGACTATAGCGGTTACAGTAACCTCTTCTTCGTCCAGACTCAGTCGCTGTGGCAGGAACTTGTGGCTCATGGTGCGGGGACTCATCGAGTCCGTCAGCACCTTGAATTGGGTCATCCTCATGCCACTGGGAAGCATCAGACAGAAAACCATATCATGTGAGAAGCCAGGTTCGTTGGAGGACGACCAACAAGTGTGTTGCTGACATGTGTGTGTGTGTGTGTGTGTTTTTAAATATGTTTGTGTGTTTCCCCTTGCCGCTGCCTGTGGGCAAAATGTTGGGTTTCAAGGGTTTCAGACGACATGTGTTGGGCACTCCGAGAGGCTTTGCTTAGTGATGTACATTTTTGCCGTGTGCAACTTGGAAGCAGCTGGAAGTGCCTGGACCACGTCGTCGCATGGTTTACCCGACGCTGCCGTCCCAGGTGTTGAGGAGCTCCCACAGGAGCTCCCACGGTAATGCATATGGAAGTTGACCATGGTTGACCTGAGTGAATCTAGCGCAGCCCCCCTCTTGATGAATGAACGTAGTCTTTTGAGGGACCATTGTCCACTTATCTTGTCCATGATTCTTAGAGGGAGGGTGTGTTAATGTATGTTATTTGATCCACCTTTTCAGCCCTCCTGGTTTGTAGTGTTGACATGTTTGGACCATTCGGACATGTGCCATCACATTTGTGTGTTTGGCCATGTCTAGTCTAGTGTTATACCATCCTGTTTAACCAGTTGCAAGTTGCATGTGCCATCGAAGCCGGCACTGGACGGGGGCGTTCGATCTCATGGACCGAAGCCCCACGGCGGGAAGCCGAAGCCCACGGCGCCGAAGCTGAACTTGAAAGATAGCAATCAATAGAGAGAGAGAGAGCTATAGAGAGAGAGCTATGGGAACAAACACCAAAAGAAAAAAGGATACATTTTCGTATCATGATGTATCATGCTGTCATGCTTTCTTTTTTTACTTCAGATTCTCTTTACTCCAGCATACGAACCGTTGGACCGCTCCACCCATTTCTTCATCGATGTGACCGAGTCCTACGCCTGGCGGTGGATTGCAAGGGCCTCTTCGCGGACTGGGACCCGGAGTGCGACCAGTACTTTGGCCACTCGGTTGATCAAAAACACCGGGGGATCCTGGGTTTTTCCTTCCCACCGAGAGGAAGAACGGAACGGAGTGACTCTTGGGAGGTTCAAAACCTACGTGGGCACCGGATTTTGACCCAGTCATGTCAGCCATTGCCAGTCAGCCTGAATCTCTGAGGGCAGATTTCTTCCGCCACCGCCAATCAAGGTCAGGCTTTAGTTCATATCCTTTCCGCGCCCCCGCTTTGCGCGCCTGTTCGGCACCGCCCCAAAGCCACTCAAAACCCCCCTTTCCGGGCGTCGGAAGACCGTGGATGCGGTGTGGTGGGTGTGTCCCATGACCTGTAACAGTTGATAAACGATGGTCACTAATTTGGAGAAAGGCCTGCAGCCACACTATCATCATCCATTGGGCCCTGGTCATGGGATATACATGGATATACCGGATACTGTATACGCAATACCCAAGCTGTTTGACATTCTGGCACTTCGATGGCCATGGGCTGCCATCCATGTGGTGTTTGTTTTGGGGACGACCTTTGGTGGCAGAATGAGCCCGTGGAAGGAGCAGTGTAACGCATGGTATATGCAGGTATATACTGTATATATATATATACCCCGTTCGAAGATACGCTATAGCCAGTGCTGTTACGGCTGTTCTCCACAAATGAACAAGTTCAAACTCAATTCTTACTGCATGGGCTGCATTGTTTGGTTGCACTATGTCCACAGGATACAATCAGTATTGGTTTGGTGGCATGCTTCAAGCAGACACTCAACTCTCACTCTTGTAAATGCGATTTGGGCTTGATGGGCCCTGAGAAAAGTTGGAATGCAACACTCATCTACAAGGAGTTCCCTGAGCGTGCCCCGCGTATACCAGGTCGTGTGCTAATTCATTCATGTATGCAGCAGTAAAAGTGCTAATATTGCATATAATTGATAATAATTGTATGACCATGAAGATCCATGAAGCTGCTCTCTCCGAGCTTCCATCCTCATGTCTTGGTTGGTTTGTGGTGGGTGACGTCCACAATACCTGGACACGTCCTGGACACGTACACCCAACTACTTTGGCTTCACTTCTTCCCCTTTTCCCACAACCTGCGTTTCGCCACCGAAGCTCACCCCACGTGGCTTACAGCAATTGACCCGCCGGTTGAAAACGGCCGCCGAATGAACCCCAAAAGCACCGCCATCGGGCGGCTCGCGTGTTCGGCAAGGAACGATCCCCAAGATCATGTACACCCTTGTCCAAGTCCTCACGCTGGACGGGATTACTTTTCTGCGTGGCAGACGCGGAAGAGAAGACTGGATCCAGCGAATGGTGCTGGAGCAAAAGTCTGCAAGTAGCAACAGAGCCCCCTGAAGAGATACAATCCCTGGAATTGGAAGTGGATTTCATGGCCCTGAAAGGAAGACCTTCCTCCGAATACCAAACACAGGGTGAACTCAACTTCCGTGTTAGTTCCAGGAAGAGATAGGAAGATTTCCGGCAAGACTCTTGGAGATTCCCAGGATGCACCTTGGAGATTTCCTCAATATCACTCTTTGGGAGTTTCAAGCTGGAGCCAGCCAAGCGTTTTCGGGATGCACTTGGCCTACATCTTTTGGGACTCACACCCTGAACTCTTGGGAGACATCACTGACGACCCCTGTTCCATCTCTCGGTCCTTGATTCGACGACCAGTGCCAGCTCTTTAGGTTTTTGTTGAGGTCCTCCATCCCAAAAGAACTCCATGGGACTCCAGTGACTCCATGGGACTGGAATAGCGACCCAGTGACCCCATGCCGCTCCCATGGAGTGTTTGGGTATACGAGTCGTCGCGCCTTGAGGGGCCACTGTCGTGGGAACTGGATGGGGAAAGGGGTCATCCCACTGGGAGGCTGTTGAGTTTGAAGAAGGTCGTGCGAAGAAGGGGGACCATTTTTTTTTGTTTTCTCCTATTTATGTTCACAGAGTTGTTTTGTTCATGTTGCATCCTTGTGTTGCCACATGTTGCCACCTTGTTTTTGGCGAATGCCTTGATGGTTGGACGCCCCTCACGAAGCATGTTCTTTCGATCCTGCTGGACAAGGGAACCACAGTCCAAGTGCATTCAGGTTGCACCCATGTTGGACCCTTGGTCATGTCCATCCTCAGGTGTATTTGTTTTTTACTATATATATATGTATACATATGCTTAACTTAGCATTCGCATGCTTTGATCAGTTTCCTTGCCAAAGCAGCCACCAAACATATCTAACCTTTCGCCTAGGGGAAAGTGTAGAAGAGGTCAGTAGCCCCAGCCCCCAGCCACTTCCAGGAGTCCTGGGCCATGACGGTGGGGCGACCCTTGGTGGACCGGCAGCCCTTGCTGTTTATCATTTTGCTTCTGCATCTGGGCTGAAGCACGTGATGTGGCGGCCTGTGAGTGCTGTCACGATGTGAGACAAAGTGAGTTTCGAACTGCATGATGAAAGTTGGTGTCCACTCACATCAAACTTCCTTTTGGATTGTGATGTTTATTTTTTTTCGTAGAGGGGGTGCTGTTAATCAAGAGTCTACATTACGAGGGGGGGGTGATACAGGGGTGATAGTGATGTTCATTGGAAGACCTCCACCAACACGGTGATGGACCTGGTTGTTGCCTGCAACTATGTGAGAGATGCATGTTGATGCCCTGACAAAGATAAACTACATTAAACTACGAACTTTAAACACTGCGACGTGGACGTGCTGCTGATGTGCAAGCACCTCTTGCGTCAGCAGCCCGATATTCAATACACATCTCTTCCACTTGGAAGGCATGTGCTCCTCACACACCCTGTGGGGCTTCCCAAACACGCCCAAGAGAGGATTCTCCCAAGATGTGTTTGAAATTTGAAATCTTCCCTCATCGGGTTTTTTTGGGGCAGCCGAATTGGAGTTGAACCGTCATCACCATGTGTGCTTTGGGCCGGTTTTGGAGGGCCGACGGTCCAGCCGACGGTCCGTGTTCGGTGGCGAACGGAGGGAAAACGACGGATGGTGGTTCGATGTGATTTGCCTTCGAGGAGACCTCGCGCACATCTGCCAAACAGAAGGAACGGGCCAAAACCGATGCTCCCCTCAAAGGGTCCTCACACAATCTCATGCACTTGATATAAAGACCACTAAAGACCATTTGGGGCAAGATGGGCAAGTCCCAAACAAACATCTACCAGCCAGCAGTTTGCGGAGAAAACCCGGATCCCTGGTGGTCTACAAGTGCAGTATCAGTCTCCAAGTGCTGGGAGGGATGTTCCTGTGAAGCGTGAAAATCAGCTCCGGACTTTCAGATCGACGTCTGACACTGCATGGTTCCAGCTTCAGCCAAGCCGCTGTTCCAAGAGCTACCTCGTTTTACATCTCCCTCCATCTCTGCTTCGAGGTTCATTTTCCTGACAACCTTCGGCTTGCTCAACATCATTGTTGGTGCGCAGTTCGCGTTCTAAAAAAACCGCCGGGTCGTTTTTCTATTTTTTGCGGGGCGACTCATGCTGCGATAGAAAGCAGGGCCAAAAATATATATTTGCAAGAAGAAACTCATAAACTCCTAGCTCCTAGCCAATAAGAGGATCATATGCGTTTGCCTTACAGCAAGGAAAGCATAAATTAGAAACTAAAAGCTACCAATAGTTCATGTTGATCTATCATCAGACGCACTTTTTTTAGCACAAGTCCTCATATCAGTGGAACTTGATTGGAATTTGACCGAGCCAGATTTGGAAGACTGCAGATCAAAGAGGTCCATTTAAGTGAGCATTCACATGGGCGTCAAATGCATGTCAAGATTGGTGAAACAATCACTCAGTTCATCAAACGACCTTTTCTTCCAGGTGCGAAATGCCAGTGCCGTTCAGTGAAGAGATCGAACAAGTTTTGAAGTTTGGCTTTCTTAGATGAAAAACAGTCCAATCCCAAAAGCACTACGCTGTTTGTCATTGGTTTGAAGATGCTTGAAGTGTCCTCAGTTTGAGGCACACCGACATGTCGATGTTATATGGTTTTCCCCGAAGAAGACCCAGGCATCTCCGCATCTCCGCACCGTTGGATCGGTGCTTGTTGCGACCAGGCGTGATCGTGGAAAACACGCTGAACATTGCGCAGAGCGACCAGGCGGGAAGGTCGACACAGAAGACCGGCCGAAAGCACCAAATGGTTTAGTGCGGAGCAGACGCCGTGCATGTGAAACACAGGGCGGCCCTGAAGTATCCGGCCCTGCCAGTGGAGCAGACGCTATAGAGAACCTATGATTCGTGTCAATTGCAACTTCCAACCTTGTCACCCATCTTCCACGCTTGTTCAATGACGTCCGAGACAAACCCCTATAGAGTTGGTATCCAAAAATATGGGCGGTCATGGGCGGTCGTGTTCGACTCGTTTGGATCGTCCACCAGTGCCGTGGACCGGGTCGACCCGCAGGAGCTACAGGACCGACGGTTACAGCGTCAGTTGCTGCATGAGCTGGAATTCCTCAGACAGGTCTTTGAGGCCTCCCGTCACTTCCGTTGTTCGGCGTTCGGTTCGCCTAGAGGACCGGACGTTATGGAGTTATATAGAGTTACGGGAGATGCAGCAACAACGGAGGGTGTAACAATTGGAATCCCGTAGAATTGTCCTTCTTTGTCATTCCGATATTTGTTTTAATCTATACTGTAATCACCCGTTTCGTTTCAACATGGGTGAGGGCGAGAATAACTATCCATGGCTGCAGCTTTAGGGCAGTTACTTAGCTACTTGAGTTGCTCACTGGTAGTTTGGAAGGTCGAGCAGTCAGATTCACCGGCTCACTGACGCTTGAGCTTGTCTCACTACTCCAGGGTGACTGAAAGATTCACCGGATCATGCGGGCGGTGGATCCATCGGGCAGTACTTCAAGTCGGAGATTGGTCATGAATTTGGTATATAAATATGCGTAACTTGTACAGGTTTTCAGTCGTAGGTTTGTGAGTGGGTTCAGACGTAGTCCAGACATGGCCCCTTAGAACGGTAGAAGAACACCATGTTTGGCCCTGCAGGATTGATAGCACTTGAGTGGTTTGGCACCTTCATGCGGTGGGAACGATATTGAGGTGCAAAGTCACATCACCTCAAACCTGAGTGACACCTGGCCATTGGATACAGGTTGCTGGTGGTGCAACCTGTCCACAATCACAAAAGAGGTCAAACGAGTTCTACAACCGCCTTTTTGTTGGAGAACAAAAACAAATCCATCCGCTTCTTCAGCTCGTGACACGCGTGACTGAACTTTGGAGTCCCTGTTGGTGACCTTTCCTTTTGGTCTGGTTGTAGGCCGAACCAATCTGGGGGATCAAGTTTGGTCACTCTTGAAGAATGTGGACTAAAAACTTCCATCATAAGACTTCCATCATCATCATCATCATCATCACCATCACCATCACCATCATCATCATCATCATCATCATCATCATCATCATCATCATCATCATCATCATC